CTTCATGTTGCCGTAGTGCATGATGGCACCAATCAGCTTGTAGATGCCGTTCTTCTCCTCTTGGGTGAAGCCCAGCACATCAAACGCTTCCTACAGCAAATGTACAGTGTGTCTAATAATTCATTGCATTACATTGCATGTTATATGGACTTCAGTTCTAAAGCTTGAGAAGTTAATATCAACAGATTTACGCATGTTTTGGATAACGCACATCTGTAGCCATCAGCTCGTCAGCATCATTAATAGAGGCCACTTGTGTCTCTCCTTGAGAGATGAAGGCGTAATCGTAAGGGTTTGCTGTGATCAGCAGCATCTCTGAGAGGAAGAACACAAGTCACTCAGACATCATGTTGTAATGTGTCATAGGCAGGTCTTGTTGTTACTCTTTTTTTTTGCCCACCAAGCAGCTCCGGTTTCTTCTGAGACAGGATCTGGTAGAAGATGTGGTAATCTCTCTCAGCCTTGAGCTGGAAAGTCACACGAGACTTCTCCAGAAGATCTGTCAAGGAGAACATTTACTTTAAAATCATTAATGCATTGTGCATTATTTTAAAATGGAACTAAGCATTGGTTTTCTTACAAGTTTCTATATCCGCAGAAGCGAGTTTGCCATTTGCAGCAAAGTGAATGCGGATAAACTTGCCCTGTTTTAAAAAAAAAAATCACCATGTCTTCTGTTAGTAAAAGCAGTTCTTTAGTTTGTTCTCCAGTTTTCAACTATTTAATTCACTTACAAATCTAGATGAGTTGTCATTTCTGATGGTCTTGGCATTGCCAAAGGCCTCAAGAGCAGGATTACACTGGATGATTTGATCCTCCAGAGTACCCTAAAAAACACAACATTTGAAATGTGTGCACAGTGAATGACAATCAAACAAAATCGCAGTACAATAATTTTATTTTTAATTCAGATCTCCCCGATTTACCTTTTTTTCACTGGTCTCCTTCTTTGAAGGACTAGCAGCAATGCTGGCAAAGTACTGAATGACTCTCTTGGTGTTCACAGTCTTTCCAGCACCAGATTCTCCACTTTAGGTTTAAAGGTAACATGTTAAGAACTGCACTACATTTTTTAAAACTATTATAGAAAGTGATAAACAGAAGCAGACTTACGTGATAAGAATCGACTGGTTTTCTCTGTCTGAAAAGGGCAATAACATATGAAATAACATTAGTTACTGTATGTTCTAACCAAACTAAAATTAATGCATTTAATAAAAAGCAACTAACCATATAATTGTGCATAGTTAGAAGCTCGAAATTTATAAACTTCAAAATGGGGAAACCACTTCCAATTATTTTATGTTAGTGTTGTCAAACGTCATATATCAAACTATTTTTCCATTATCTGTCACGTGATAGAAACTAGTCAAATTAGGCAGATGCCAACATGGACGAGTTGTGAGACAGTCTCAAAAACCACAAACAAAACTATGTAAAGTAGAACAATAGTGCATACGAGAAAATCAGATACAAGTTTCAACACAACGTTTTCATTTATTGGTATTCATTTATTTTGGTGTCAGGTTGATGTGATATCTGGGCCCTAAACTAAAACCAGTCAAGAACTAGTGGTGTCAAGTAGACGCACCTGACAGCATGTACTGGTAGGCGTTGTCAGAGATGGAGAAGATGTGAGGAGGAGCTTCAGTCCTCTTCTTTCCTCTGTAGGCAACGACGACTTCCTGGTTGTACACGGGCAGCCACTTGTAGGGGTTGACAGTGACACAGAAGAGCCCAGAGTAGGTCTGTAAGAGATTCACAGCAGCTTCAGATCTGCTCACACGTGATAAAGTGAAACTGTGAGTGTTTAAAGACTCACGTAGATCATCCAGGCTGCGTAACGCTCTTTGAGGTTATACAGCACAGCGGGCTCGTGCAGGAAGGTGAACATCGCCATGTCCTCAATTTTATCAAACTTTGGCGGGTTCTGAGGGTGAATATCAGCTTCTTTCACAGTTACTGTCTGTAAAAAGCAAATATTCCAACAGTTATTACTCGAAACGATAAGTTACTCTAATGTAATGAAGTAATACTCAAGAGTTCAACTTTTACTTACTTTGCCTTTTTCCGTCTCACAGGTGACTTTATCACCTTCCCGACTCGAAACGGTTCCTTTCACATACTCCTCTGCAGCATCAGGAACAAAACATTCCCTTTTCATGTCAAAGGGGCGAGTTTGGGCCTCCAGACGCTCCCTGTCTGACTTCCTAAGATACGGAGCAGCAGGTCCAAACTCCGCCATCTGGGCATCCCCCATCTTTCACCTGCTCAATTCAATTCAAGTTTATTTGTATAGCGCTTTTTACGATACAAATCGTTACAAAGCTCACAAGTGCATGCACATAGATTACTATATATATATACTTACATACAGTATATATATATATATATATATATATATATATATAGGAACCTATTTGGATGCTTAAGACACATATAAAACCAGATATATACCACAAATTTTAAAGAAACAAAACAAAAACGGTGTATCCAATATTTCACTAAACTCAAACATTGAAAGCTTAAATTTAAAAAAAAAAATTTATTAAATAGTAAAATAAATATATAAAAATAAAATTTAAAAGTATCTAAAAATATAAGTTTTTCTTTCCTTACTGCTATGAGGCTATTTGACTGCTATTTCCTTACTGCTATTCATACATATAAGTTATTAAAAGGTGCTTCATGCCACAATCAGTCATTTTACCCTTGTTAATGAAGCTATATTGCTGTAAAACCAAATGTACAAATGTCGTTATCAAACACATGCATTACGACCAAGAAACAATAATATGAGGTGCATTACCTCTGACAGCTGCCGACCCAGAAAATATTACCACAAAAGCTCCCCTACAAGCAATGTGATCAGAGATAATGGTTCAAAATCCATCACCATGAATTACAAAGTTATTAGAATTCCAAATATTGATTAAAGAAAGATTTCAGCTTGCTTGGTGACTTTTAAAGAGTTGCATATTACCTGTTCACAAGTTGTAGGCTTGAGGGAAAGTTGAATGGCCGAAGCTGAGGATCCTCTCAACAGTGTGTCCTTCCTCTCTTTTATAAAGCCACTATCCATCTAAATAAGGGAGTTGGCACACTGTTATGCCAATCTGCTATTGTGTTTGGTTCAGCTGTGGTAGGGAGGGATAAGCATAGTTTTTCATACGCACCAATCATTCCACCGCTGCCAACAACATCCCATAATGGATAATAATTACAGGAGGACAGTTAAAATCACCAAAGACAAAGCTTTCACCATTAAGTCCTGTTTGTATTCGAAATATGATAAAATCATGATTAAGCATGATTTTTGCCCCCCAGCCAATCTGAAAAACACAACAGCTTGTTGCATCATAAATATGTATAAATGCACATATAATTTTGGAGTTATAAGTATATATCTTTGTTTTTGTTCTAAACTAGCTTTGTAGCTGTCTAATAAAGTCACAGGCTAATAACCAGACAGGTAAGTAATCCTAATAAAGTAACTGTTGAGATTCAACCATGGCATTTGCTTACTTTCATTTTCTCCTAATGCATCAACATCAGTACATTGACGAAGCACTATTTCTCATATTTTAAAGACACAGACTTCATCTATATCACTTGTTTTGATTGATTACTGTATGCAACAAAAGGAAAAAATGGGGATGTAAACTCGCATCCAAGTTTTGCTATTCATGGAATCATTTTTTATGATGGAATAAATTGCTAAGGACAACAGAAGTTTGAAATGTCAGTGAACAACTGTGTGGTGAACACTGAAGGTCAGTGAGCGACAGATGAGATGATTCCTTGCCTCATTGTCACATGATTGTTCCCTCATTTGTCCTTGGGTACAAAGATAACCCTGTGAAATTCCTGGAAAGTGACGCCCATTGACTGAGAATCACAGGTTAGTACTTCCATTTATGTAACGCTGTGGAACGCTTCACTGAAAGACAAATATAAACAAAGGAAGAGTTATAGACCACTTTGTTTTATTGCAGTGGTGAAACTAAAGCGATGATGGCCTTGCTCTGATATTCTGTGCATGCGTCCACCATCACAAGACAAGGTATCGTCTTTCCGTCGGGTCAAACGCTTGGTTGCCTGCCCAGTACTGCTGCATATGTGCCTCTGTCATGGTGAGGTTAAACTAATAAAACACAGTTAGCTTTCTTATTCTGATCTAGTTCTGTTGTTGCTCTTTTACTATTGTCATTTGGATGGTTATAGAAACTAAACATTTGAAATCACTCATTAGGGAAGAAGTGTTTGTATAAAGGCTACTTGCCAACAGACAAGTATGGTTTCAATCAGTGTAAAGAGGAGCTATAATTAGTGAAGACAACCAAGCAGCAAATGTCAGATGTTAACAAGGTGCAAGTGTTCAACAAGTGAGATCGTTTTCATTGTGAATGCCTTCATAACATCTACAACCAAACCCTCAGAGACTTGAAATCTCCAGGCAAGAATCTGATCAGGACGAGCAGTCGATTGAGCTACAGGATTTACATTACGAGAGAGGTTGCAAGCAGCCAGCTGTCTGAGAATCATAATGGTAATTCAATAGAGCTACGAGGCTAAATTAGTCTCGAAGAGGCTATTTGATATTGTCTAATGTTATACTGAAATACATTTCTATTTAAGGCTGGAAATCAGATAATGTGGGAACCCTGCATAAGGAATTTAGTTTTTGTATAGTTGATACACTTTTAATAGCGGCTTGTGTAAACATTAGGGGGCGCTATAGTAAAGTTTTGCAGGATAAACAAACTGACCTTTGCGACCATTACAGAATCAGGAGCTGCTGTCCAGAGTGTTTTTTATGGTGAATCATTGGCCTCGTCTGAAATGAGCTCACCGGCAAAAACTGAAGAGCTAAAAATATGCAAACCAGCAAAATATTGATGGCCCAGAGGTACAGAAGAACATTCAACAACACCAAAGTCTGAATGCATTCAGCTTGAGACGTTCAAAGCACATATTCACTTCTAATCACTTGACAAGCATACGTGATTTCACCAGATTTTATTTGTAATTAGACTTGATTAAAGATTAATAATTACAGCATTGTTTAGTAAGTGTTGTGCAATCATCAGACTTATTACTATTATCCTTTATTATTAATGTAGTAGCAATAATAATAATAATTCAAATTATTACAAACAATTCAGAACTATTAAGTGCATTTTAAAGAATCTAACACAAAGACGCGTTTACAAGAGAAAGCGACATAACTCATGTTTCCAAAGTTCCTTATTTCATAATCAGACTGAAAATGCAATAGGCAAAGACAATATAGAAAGACATCAGACACAAATAAATCATGACTGTCAACATTCAAATGAACCTGTGCGTTCCTTCCCTCTGCTATCATACGCGTCATCCTCGATGTTTAAGGTAAGGAACAGAACTAAGGGACGCTACGAGCAGTGTGATTTCAGTTTGCCTCATTAGAGGAATATTACAGGTTTATTACAACTTAAGCAGTCAAATTATTCCACTAAATTGTTCTGCCGCCTCCCTTAGTTTGCACAAAACAGGATAAGTGTGCACATTAAAGAATGGATGTTGCACTAGAGGGGTTAAACGCAGAAATATGGAGGATATATTTTTTTGTAATTCGGTTCTGTAATTCATCTGCGACAAAAAATAACACCTGGCTGTGCAATGGAGACATAAAATGGAGTAATTGACAACACGTCCCAGCTTCTGCAAATACAGTACAACTCAAGTTGCATTCCTATAATATTCCTTTAACAAAGAGTGACGTGTAACATACAGTAATAAGTGTTTCTGGCATCATGCCTCGGTCTAATCAGAGTGCACATAAATGATCCTTGACGTTTCTCGCCCGAAGCACTGATCAATCCTCCAGCGATCCTCTGGGCGTCCCATTCTTAGCAGCAACGTGTTAGAGAACCAATTCCATCCTTCTTCCATCTGGAGTGAGAACTTAAGCCTGTTTTCACAGGGATAAATATATTTCAATCATTGCTATTTTGAGCCCTTGTCTCATATTGGTCTAATATATTACTAATAAGTCACCGAATGCTACATGGGTCAGACTTCAATATTTAGTCAGGAGTTTAGACAACACCTTGTCTCATGGTTTATGCCACTGAGCGCTAACAAGCGTTTGCGTACTCCGTGGACGCGGTTCGGTACCCTTCACCCCTCACACTTCATGACGGAGTCCATGTGCCACGACTCCACCGACACGTGTTAGGAATGACTACAAATACAGGATTATTAGGATGGGACTCCGAGGTCAGAGTGAAGGCTAGGTCTCTGGGTTAGGCGTAGCCAGAAGAGGAACGTTATCCCTACGTCTTCGGCCCAGCGGAGGACGGCGGTACTGTTCTCCATCCGCCAGCGTCTGTGGAAGAGGTTTGCGTTTGCTCTCCGGGAGAAGCAGGATGGAGAGGACCGCCAGCAGGGCCAGAGACGAGTAGACCACATGGTGCAGAAAGTAGCCGTAGTGATTACGCAGATCCATGAGAGGAGAACTGAGGCGGCCCACGCAACCCAAAGCCATGACCGCTCCCACACCACTTCCTCTGTGGACACAACAATGGGACGTTAAAATCGCCACTTTCGTGGTGTGTATATATAAATATATATACTCTACTCAATATAAAATCTACCGTCTAAATGGAAGTATTTTCCGACTATTGGTTGAAGAAAAGTAGAAGCATGATGGAACTTTTGAAGCTGCCTTCACGTGATATTGGAATTATCGTAAATACAATTTTCGTTGTTGGAAATTAACGCCCTCTCAAGTTTTTACAAGTAATTACGACAGAGGATCTTGAAACCCGAGCCATAAATTTGGCAGCGAAGAGAACTATAGCTGTACTGACTGTTAAGTTGTATTCATTTTTCCCACATCTACATTGCTTTCTTTTGCCCTTAGAGTATATTTATGTTTATAAATAACCATTTGAAGAATACTGTATATGTTTTACACTGTGAAAACAGCATTTCTATGTTTATATGGTTGTCAACAGATGGGACGCTACATTTGATTCAAAATCTGTTAAATATTCACTAAACATCTTCAATACATTTTGGCTCTAGTAAGATTGTTTTCACAAGAATGTACATGGTTTCCAACATGATTTCTATTTCTTTCGGACAACAAAGCACTTGAACGTGACAAACTCGTAATTACAACTTCAGAAGTAGGAAATCTCCAATTATAGCATGTGAAAGCAGCACGAGTGGCATCTCCCAACATTTAAATTAAATATTACAACATTGGCAACAACATTACATGCATTATTTGCATTTGGCAAATGCTTTTATCCAGTGCATTTAGGATTTACATTTTATGACTTCATACATTCCCCTAGGAATCAAAGCCATGACCTTGCCATGACCCTGATACTCAACTATATATCTCAACAAGACCAGATGAAACTTCTAAATTATCGGCAGCACGAGTGGCATCTCCCAACATTTAAATTAAATATTACAACATTGGCAACAACATTACATGCATTATTTGCATTTGGCAAATGCTTTTATCCAGTGCATTTAGGATTTACATTTTATGACTTCATACATTCCCCTAGGAATCAAAGCCATGACCTTGCCGTTTGTTAGCGTCATGCTCTACCGGCTATAGTATATGAAAACTATTAATAAATTAACGACAAGAAAAACTTATGCAATCTTCGCTCCGTTTCCTCCCAGGAGAAACACCGTTGGCGGGAAGCCAGAACCACACAGAAGAGATGCATAAATTATATCCCTAACCGGCTCTCTGGAGTCCAGTAGGGATCGAGCTGTTTTCTTGACTCTCTCGTTGTCCACACATTACATGCATTCTGCTGCTTCAGGAGGTAAAATAAGCGTGAGGTTATGACGGTGTGCTAGTAACCAGCCCCCCACGGGAGCGTGTGTTTACCTGATGATGGTGGGCATGACTTCAGCGGTGAACAGAATAGAGAGAGAGGCGGCCGCTTGGGACGAGAACAGGCCCATTATAGAGAACACAGTCATGGCTGACTCACTCAGATCTGCAGGGACACATTCATCTCAACGTTAGACATTATAAAGCAAAATACCTCAAAGAATTAACTGGACAATGCTTGAAACGTTGTATTGCTCGCACTTCTCGTGTTATTGCCGCCTTGCGCTATGGTATATATGATTTGATCATTCGTTGAAATTGAAAGTCGCTTCGGATAAAAGCGTTTGCTAAAAGAACAAATGTAAATTTCAAGATAAATCTGTGGGAAAATCTGTTTTTAGACTTGTGAACTATTAAATGCATTTATAAAAAAAAATGTTCACACAAGTAGAATTGTAAGTATTCGTCTATGAGATAGTAAGTATTTGTTGATTTAAATTTATTTATTATTATTATTATTATTTAAAATCATTGTGTCCAGGATGATTTTCGTAAGCGTGTTACGATAACGAATGGGATTTATGTTTATTTTTTACATTACAGTAATGAGAATTTGAGGAGAAGAGTGCTTTGAAATCCCCAAAATATTTTCTTTAATATTAAAAAAAATTATAATTTTAATATAATGTAGCATTTTAAATTATAAAATTACATATACAAAAAATATATTATATTTTTTATATAGAAATAAAAAAAAATAAAACACCTTTCGTCTTTGTTTAGATTTTAGGGTGAGATAACAACGCAAAAAACACTTACAGTCCATGAGTCCGAGCAGGATTAGGGAGGCCAGTCCGGTCAAGGTCATGGCTAGAAGAAGAATTCCACGACGACCAAACCGGTCCACCGTTGCCCAGAGCAACAGCCAGGCTCCGCCCCCTGCACATACAGACAGCAGGTACGTCCAATAGAAACTGGGGGTGAATCCTCTGACATCACCTCTGAAGGAGCTGTAGCAGTGACTGATGCCATGAGAGATGAACCTGAACACAAGAATACACGTCAAGATACGATAAGACCAGCCACCTAACAATCATACAAGACGCATAAATGGTGCAATATTTAAATAAGGAAATAAATGCATGTGAGTATAGACCAATTTCAGTGTTTGTAAACAGTGATGACGTTTTTGTGGGCGGAGCCTATCTGGTGGCAGAAAATGACCGTTTTAACGTAGCAGTCTATTCAAGGAGTAAAAGAATACAAATTTTAATTTTGAGTTTATATTTCAAAATTCTGACTTTTTCTCTTGCAATTCCGACATTATATCTCACAATTCTGGTAAGAAAAATCAACTCGTCGTTCTTTCTTTTAAGTTTATGATCCCACACTTCTGGCTTTTTTCCCTCAGAATTGACAAACTCGCAATTGTTGACTTGAATAAAGTTATAAAGTCCAAACTAGGAGATATAAACTTGCATTTGCAAGAAAAAAAGTCAGAATTGTGAGATAAAATAGGCAAATGTTATAGGTTTAAATAGTATTTCATGCATGTATTTCAACTGTAGGGCTAATACAATATGTCCCCTATATGAATATTATCGTTTAAATCAAATTTATGCTTTAAAAGTAGGGTAATCACAGCAGGTTTCATCCATAGTCTGTCCGTTTAAACGTCTGCGTTTAGCTTCAAATGGCATCTTAGACGACAGTATTATATAAAAGTTATTTGCATTACGATTCTGACATCCAAAGGCACAACAAGACATTTTTTCTCTTATTCCATGGATTTTACCCGTTTCCCTCCACTTATTCCCAGTGTTTTTCTGCCACCACTATGCGCGCGCAGCTGCAAGTGACGTCTACTCCAAACTGGTCTATAAATAATATATAAATAAATGAATGCATTATTTAAAAAAATCAATTAAAAGTAAAGAAAGGGGGAGATGAAGCAAAAATTATGTATTTATTTTTGCTTTGGTCCTCCATATTGCTCAATTGTTGAATATCAACTGAACAATAAATAAATAAACTTTAATTCTGACTTTGATGCTACTTTGCAAGAGCAGTCTGACTCCAGCATCCAGAACTTGCCCACTTCAGCACCTCAGGCAAGAAGTTTATCAGTAGGAATGACTTACGAAGTGAATCCCAGCACACACAGGTTTTTCCAGATGTTTCTGCTGTGTAGCAGCTCTGGGAAGGACAGGTGAGGACGTCCAGGAGACGAGGGCGATTCTGTGTCCAGCTCTGCCACATCAGACACAACGCACAACGTTTGTTCCTTGAGAACATTAGACGAAAACCTCCGGCAGAAACCGTTTGCCTTCCAAAATGAATGTGCAAACACTTTCCAGCGCAAGATATTTTCTAAACTGACCCGTGAAGCTGTCGTCATCTCTCTGCCGCTCGCTGAAGGAATGCATGTCTCCCGTCCTCTCGGAGAGCAGAAGCCAGCGCGGCGATTCAGGAAACACTCCCGGGATCCTGAAGACAAACAAGCGGCAGCTAAAAGAGCAGCTTCATGCAATAATAAGATAATCTGCTCAACAGACAACACAACTGGGAGAAGCGACACCGTGGCACTAGCGGGACGCTCTGCTAGTCATAGAAACGAAGGTGATTCGTCATTACTAACGAGCGCTAATGTGTGCTGGCTGCACTCAAAGCTTCACAGGGAATTTCAGATCAATATTCCTGAAAGAGCAGCCGCTTTGCATTTAGGCTGATGAAGTGTTGAAAAGCTTCCTGTTCCCAGACGCAGCAGTGTTGATGCTGAGCCAGGTTAATAACAGAAGAGATATTTATCCACAGCACTGGAGGTCCGACCTGCGGGAAACCGTGTTTTTGTTACGCTATGCAACAAATGAATCACCTGTGAATGTGTTTTTCAGAGAGCAGCTCACAGAACTGATTTCAGGGATCGACACTTCTATTATCAGGTCCGTGCTTTCTTATCTTCTTACATTATAACTATCTAACATACCGTGCGTTTTGTTTGGATTTGGGTGATGATCTGAATATTGTTTTGGGATTTCCTGTAGCTCAAAGAGTAGAGCATGACACTAACGATGCCAAGGTCATGGGGTCGTTTCCCAGGAAATGCGTATGTTGATTAAAAACAATGTAAACCTTGAATGCAATTGAAGTCGCTTTGGATAAAAACATCGGCCAAATGCATATAAATGCATGAATGTACATTTTCACGCTTCTCAGCACTAATTTTGGTACCATTACAAAAACACTGTTTTTCACTTAAAAAACTACCTGCCTCAAACTTTCTAACCAGTGCAATCCTAATAGTAATAGTAAGCCAAAAACCACTTGATCAGTAGGTGGCATTCATCATGGACTAACCCGTAGCACAGGAACAATGACAGAGGAGCTGCTCCGGTTCCTAACAGGCCCCTCCAGGAGCCGCAGCCGAGGGCCACAGCCAGCAGCAGGAGCTCGCCCGCAAACACGGTCAGACCGGACATCATCGTCGCCAGCAGCCGCAGCGATGGGTCACACAGTTCCACACCTACAGCCAAACGCGAAGAAACACAACTGTAACTCCATGCTTAAAACCAGAAAAAATATCAGCCAATCGAGACCGAAAAATAAACTTGATTTCCACTTCAACTTGATAATTTTTCAACTGAAGATTCAGAAGAATCTCTGAAGCATTTAAGAATGTTTCTACTGTAAACAAGGCCTTTTTTGCAGCGAAACATCATCTCGACACTCTGTGCTGCTGTTCGTCACGCGTGTTCCGTGTGCGTTTGACTTACGTGTGACGTACAGCGTGAGGAAGACGCCGGCGCTCGCCGCGGCCAGACAGAAGCGCATGCTGATGAAGACGGGCGGTGAGGGCGACACGCACACCAACACCCCGAAAACCACCGCCAGCATCAGAGACGCCAGCAGAGACTTGAGCCTGCCCAGCCTGGAACACACCGAACGACTCAAACGCTGACATGATGGAAATACACCAAAAAAAACACTGAAAAGACGGACGGATGGACAGTTTCTCACCGGTCAGCCATGTAGCCCAAACCCAGACAGCCCGTCAGCGTCCCCAGAATGAAGCACACCTCCTCGACTGGAACCAGCCAGTACCGAGAACACACCAGATCCCACTGCCAACAACAGGAAGTCAGGACAGAGCAGACAGGAAGTCAGTTGTTGTTGTTCAGGCAAACTCAAGCGATTGAATTGGTCTGAAGACTCGTGAGTTCATGTTTTCACTTCATGTTTGGTCATGCTGAACATTCACGAACAGTCAGATTACAAAAGTTATGCGTCAGAGCTTTAATATCCAGCGTTAGTACTAAACTATTAAAATTGTTTTTGTTAATTTAAAATAAAGCTGAAATAAAATAATAGATTAAGAACCTAACCTTGAACCAAAGCTATAAATGTTCCATTGGCACAAAAAAAAATTGAATAAAATAAATATTTATTAAATAATTTGAAGTACTAAATTTTAAAACTTACATTTAAAATGTCTTAAACTATTTAGAAATATATGAAAAACAAAATGACAAATGCACATTACAAAATTAACTAAAACTTCAATTAAAAACAAAATATCCAATTCAAAAGTTTTTTAATTTTATATTAGATTAAAAACTTAAATGAAAATTAGAAACGTTGCCTTGGCAACTAACTGAAGTTTAAGTACTAACATTTCTAAATAAAAAATAAAAAATAATAAAATAAAAATATTAAATAAAAAAATACTGAAATAAAAAAAATTTAAGCTATATATAATTTTTTTTTAAAATGACAAGCACATTACAAAATTAACTAAAACTTAAATTAAAAACAAAATATACAATTCAAAAGTTGTATAATTTTATATTAGTACTTAAACTTCAGATAGTTGCCAAGGCGACATTTCTCATTTTCATTTAAGTTTTTAATCTAACATTTCTAAAACTGAAATAAAAAATAAATTAAAGCTATATAGAATTTAAAAAAAATGACAAGCATATTACAAAATAACTAAAACCGAAAATGTAAATGTAAAAGTGAATTAAAATCTTCTATGTTGAAATAAATTAAAGTTGAAGTACTAAAACAAACCGAAATAAAAATAAATTGAAGTTATATATAAAATGTAAACAAAGGCACATAATAAGGTTACTAAAACTTTAAACTAAAACTAAAAATATAAATAAAAAAGTTAATTCAAAATATTAAATGATTACTATAATAGTATATAAATAATACTAAAAGAAAACTGTTAATATCACAAATGGATTCTGAACTTCAGCATGTACGCAGCAGCAGAACGAGTCAAACGTCACGAGAGCAAGCAGCTGCGTCGTGACACACGAACACAAAAGAGTTCGTCAGCTGAGATGTGACCAAACCAGTTCTACTGTACACTCGACTAGACTTCAGCCCACACTGACCACAAACAGCACCAACTAACTTTAGTTTCGCATCTTTCCCTGAATACAAAAACTTTTTACCTACACATGCATTAATTACAGTTCTTACAATTTATGAGTTCAGAGTAAAACTTGTGGGTCCCCGGGAGGAATCTGATGAATACAAAAATCATAATCGTCAATTATTCCCTTGAAATTGTCATTGCGATTATTAATTACGATTATCACAAATTACATTGAATGATGTTTATACCATTGTTTGATGCAACGGCATGCCGCATTTTTATATGAGAATAAACCAGCTGAAAACACTCTCTGAAAAACCTTTAGTGCTTTTCTATAGTATTAAGCCTCAAATGTCAACTATACATCAGATTGGTTTCTTCTTTAAATTATAAAAAAGTACAAATATGAATGGTATTATAATGTTATACTAAATGTAAAAACCCTTAAGATAACATGTAGAAGGAAAAAAACACATCTTAAGCGTGCCGAATAACATAAGTGGACTTTAAACGATTAATTGCCGCTTTGAACGATTACGTAATTGCGGCATCCGTAATTGTAATCGCGATTAGAAATTCGATTCATTGTGCAGCCCTACAAAACACGAATCTATGTCACGCAAATCTGAGATTAACCACTCGTGATAAGCAACAAGATATTCTGACAGTCACTGAGACCTCGTTAGTACAAAATCAGACTATATAACTATATATTTAACATCAAAAAGGATCTGATTGCCTGTGATTATGTTGTATTATTGAGCTTTTTTGGCAATACGGTGACACTGCAGGAGCAAATAAATATGTCGTGACATTCATAATAATCTGAGATAATATTACACTACAATCTTTATGTTCATGCACTTTTTCTGATAAAGGACAAAAATTGTATGATTATTGCATTATTCTCTAGCTGCACCTGAATAACCATCTTTCCTGGTTATAGACATCTTATTATAGATTTAGTTCACACAAAATGTCAAATCTATAGTGTTATTGTAAGCTAAAATGAAAAATATTGATTGAAATAAACATGAAATGAAATTAATATATAAACGGAATCTTATTTTATTTCAGTAAGTTGTAAAGACAACATTTCTAATTTTTTTGTTAAGTTTAGGTACTAAAATGACTAAAACTGAAATTAAATGAATTTAAAAAAATTTAACATTTTAAAAATGCAAATGAAAAAAAAAAAAAAGTAAATCTAAGGAACATAAAAAAACAAATGACTAAAATGGACTAAAATTAAATAGACACTAATTAAATTAAAATAAGAATAAATGAAACTGAATTAGGTTAACAGCAGAAATAAAATGAATTAAAAAAATTAAACATTTAAAAAATGCAAATAAAGTAAAAGTAAATCTAAGGAACATAAAAAAAATAGATAATAAAAAACAACAAATGACTAAAATGAACTAAAATTAAATAGACACTAATTAAATTAAAATAAGAATAAATTCAACTGAATTAGGTTAAATTAGATTAAAATTATAAAAATAAATTATATATAATTATTATATATATATATATATATACTAAAATAACATTTTTCAGTTCCAAAACTGTAAACTGTTCCAAAAAAGGCTCTCAAGTTCCAAAAAAGCCCCAAATTTCAATGTTGAAGATGCATCACATCAGGTTTGTGGTCATGAATTTTATACCAATGCATCACAAAAGTTTTCCACGAGTGATTTCACAGCAGAAATAAACTGTAAAATAAAACAGTTCCTGGTGGCCGTCTGCTTTAACTGTACGGAAAAAAGTAGCGTGAACATTCTGCTAAATATCTTTACATTAAACTGGTAGCAGAAGTATATATATATAATGTTAGATAGATAGGATAGATAACATTGGATAGAAAGACATTAATAGATATTGATAGGCACATATAACGATAGACAGACAGATATGATTGGTAGATAGACATGATGGGTATACAGTATATAACGACATATATAGTTATGACCAATCTCTATAACGACAGATAGCTCGAGAGATAGACACATAACTGGTATTTACAGCAAGAGAGAGATTTCATCTTCAGCAGACTCTTCAGATCGAGCAGATGAAAACCTCACATGAAAGGGAGAAATTAAAGAAGAAAGTGAAGAAGAAAATAAGATGAAAGAGTAAAAAGGAGGAGTGGAATGAAGGAATGAATAGAATGAAAGAACTGGAGGAATGCGAGTGTTATGTAAGTGGAATTATAGCGAGAAGAAAAGAATTATAGAAACCATATGCATTAAAGAAACTATAGAAGATAAACGCATGTAATGTAAATGAGCGGATCTTCTAAGCATTATTCATAAATCCTGTTTATTTCTACAAGCTGCAGAATCCTCACCTGCTTCTGCTGATGTTCCCAGACGCGCCGCGGAGCTCCAGCACATCCACACTGATGCTGCTGGGCTGATCTGGTCTGATGTGGTTCTGATGTGGTTCTGATGCGTTCTGGACTCGTTCGGCCCGTTCAGTCCAGCGCAGTGAAAACCTCTCCGCAGAAACAGACGCTCGTCGCTCCGCTCCTGCTGATCTGACGCGTTCAATGCGCCGCGCGCTACACCAAACGAACGCGTTAAATGACGGCAAATAAAGCCTGGATGCCGCTGAAGACGGCCGTGTACGGAAGCAGATCCCCGGCTCCGAGACGCGCACAGGGCGGAAAAACTGGCTCGACTGGCGGCGAGTGTCGGAAACCCTCGGGAACATCCGGACAGCTTCGGAAACCTTGCACTAAAGACGCAGTTGCAGCCCAGCCGAGCAGCCACACGAGGGAGCCATTTATCACATACAAATGATGTTTATAAACGTTACAAAGGAAGACTGGCGTACTGCATGCTACGCACTACACACTACATACTGCTTACTACATAAAAAAAAGTACATTATGATAGTGATGACAAATGCAGTACATGTGATTTTTTTCTGATGAAATGCATGGATGACCTGCGACATTTGTCACAAAAGTGTGAAGAGTAAAATGTGTTCATCACATTGTGAGGTCAAGGGCATTGCATTGTGCTCTGGATGCACGCTGCACATTTTGAATCATAACAGGTCATCTGGGAATTGTATGCATACATAAAATTAAAATACTGTACACTCGGGAATGCATGAGTTAATTTATTTTCTATTTTATTTCTGTGAAGCACAAATATTCAGTGTAATCTTTCAGTTAATACAAATGCATAAAAACGGCATGTACATGAATTATGCAAAATAGATGAAGTATAGCATGTCACACACTGTTTTTATACATATAATGCTGTGCTATTTTGTGAAGTATAATGGTACTGCCATCTGTTGCCTTTATCATTTTGTAAGTATAACATTTGCAACTGTATGTCTTGAATGTCCCTGTATAAAATGTGTTATATATTATATTATATATATATATATATATTTTTTTACATGTATCATGATGGTACCATGCAATTCTATGAAGTACCGTGGTACTACCATCTAATGCCACACTGTTATGTTGTAAAGGTAAACTTTGCATTTATATATTTTGTATTACGTTTTTTGCATACGTTTACAATTTGTTATATCATTTTATTTTACTTTATTAAAAGTTTGGCCTCTTTTAAACTTTGCAATTATATATGTTGAATTAAAAAATGTATATATATATATATATATATATAATATTAAAATACATATAAGAAGTTTATAATATATAATTGTATTTATTTATACAATTAGATACAATTATAAATTATATTCTTGAATTCTGGCACCATATGGGTTACATTTGTTATGTATTATATCATTTTATATTATGGGTTATATAGTAATTTAAAACGTTTTTTGTCTGTGAAACAGAAGTTAAATGTATCCAGAATAGTTATCATAGTTTTTAAGATTCATGTTATTAAGAAGTTTTCATGTTATTAGATTTTTAACAAATAATTAAAGTTTTGCCCCACAGGTGGAGTAAAACGTCTTCAGTCTGACAAAGCAATTTGCTTTATACATTTACAGCAAAATCAGAGTACAGGCAGTTTTAGCTTAAAATCAAAAAGCTTAAAATAATCAATAATTATGAATTATAACAGCCTATTTAAAATATATATATTGTTAGCTGATGCTAACTTAAGGTAACTTTTAAATATAAAGTCCACATATTTTTATTCAACCAACTAGAAAGCATTTGATGGAAAAACAGAGGATTTGATGTTCAGAACAGGGTAGCTACAGTAATTAAGCCACGCCCCCCGCAGGCGTGTTACCCCACAGACTAGGTTTGGGAGAAAAAATAAATAAATTATGTCATTCTGAAAATATAATTGTATTTTTTCTTAAATAGCACGTACTCCTTATCTACAGGCCTTACTGTTCTCATACCTTAATTAACTGTGATGTTCTACAAAACAGCCAGCTTTAAAACCCGTTTCCTCTCATCAGGAGCATCAGCGGTGTGAGCTTCTACATCACTCTTCTCATCGCATAGTTACAACAAAAACTCATCTTGACTTTATCTAGTGGTTATTTTGGGAAAAACAGTACGGGGCCGTTTCCCCACTCTACCCTATAATTATACATTCATTTAAAATAAAACGATTAATATACATTTTTTTTATATTATCAAATGTTATATTTTAATTTAGTCGGTATGATTATGGTTTAGTGCGATCAGGTGTTGAGAGTTTGGATCTCTGCCTGTTCTCTTGCGCTGTGTTGAGTAAACACACTCTTTCCTAACCCTGTGGCCAGATTTCAGGTCAGGGACCGCAGATTTCCCCACTGCTATACGGAATCAGGTTACAACACACAAACATCAACAGTTGTGTGAATTAATGAATGCTCTTGCTCTAGTGCAGTGTTTCCCAACCGGGGTGCCATCTGTCGAGAACAGGGGTGCCGTGTAAAAAAAATCATTTTTTTATGTTTTTAAATTGCTAAAATTTTCAAAAAAGCATCTATTATATAATATCCATTTCTGATGCACCGAAGTTTTGGCTGCCGAAAATGTGTTCACCGCTCAGGTTTCACTTTCACGTGGTGTGACGCTCTGCGTGTTATCCCGCTCTATGTGTGCGCTCCGCTCAGTCGCTCCACTCATATACCGTTCATGCTCATCAGAACAGCAAAGTCCACTCAAACATTGAGCCGACGGGAAACAAGGATGTAGTACAGTATTGTTTCTGTCTGCAATAGCCCTACTGTGTTGTAACATGGTGTGGTATATGGGCATCTCTGGTAACGCTGGCCTCTCATTCATTGATCTGCTAACCGCATGTTATGCTCATGTGTTCTGATAATAATAGCTTTCTAGGACTAAACGTTATTTGGATAATTGGTAAAAAAAAAAAA